GGTCCAGCTCGTTGGGAGAGGGGGCATTTAGAGGAAAGACATTCGAACTGGGTGACTGCTCTGGGCGAACATCACCCCTGCTTCCCCGATACACTCACCGGGCGACACTGACATAACCAGCTTCAGGTCGGTGAGTATTTTATCATTTGGCAGCTGGCAAAACGTTCACGGTTTTCCAGGTAGCCGTAGTCAAAAGCTGCTGGTGAGTTCAAACATCACCAGCACTGTTGTGTGGATGTGCATGTAAACCGAGGAGGCTTCATTCAGCGTTAGCGGGCTGGCCACACAGCAGTTGCTTCGGCTTCAGTGGAGCCAGGCAGCCGTGTCGGCCTGGTCACGACTGGTGAAAAACGAGGGTGAGGATGTCCACCAGCTGCTAAACTAGGACAGGCGCGCTAACGACATGCAAAGCCAAGCTAAGGTAGCTAACCTACAGCTTCAGCTTTCGTGGCAGTGTTGTAACAAATGTTAGCTAGCAGTGAACTAAGTGGCTAACAGAGCTGCGTAGCACCATCTAGATATCACAGTAGCTAGTTTCAGGTTAAACTGTAGTTGTGTTGTCACTTAACGTTTCGTCCTGAAAATATATACAGTGTTATCACTGTGGCACTTTACAGTTTAACTCCACATATAACAATGGAGTTTGTTTGTTCAAAATTGACTTTATTTTGAAAATAACGAGCGGAAGTCTCACTTTTGCACATATGTAGGGTTGATATATAACTTTTTAGTTTTAGAAGTAGCACTAATGTTTAATGTTGATGTTTAAGAGTTGGGTTTGATTCTGTTAAACAAAATTTAATTTGTGAGTGGCTCTAGGGTAAATCACTGTCATGTGGTCAGTTTATTTTTTTTTCCTGTCTGGGTAGTAATTAGTCATTACCAGCATGTACAGTATGTGTCTGCACCTGTGCCATGGCAATTTAAATAGCCACCACATATGTACGAATATGTATTTAACTGTGTACATGTTTCACCAGCCAAGTTATGTTAGATATGAACAAATAACTTACTCTGTTAATTCACTTCTCACTTGCATCAGTAAAACAGGGTGAAAGTGGACAGTGTGTAGCCCATTTTATAGCATCACTTCAGCAGCCTGGTGTTGCTTAACCAGGGACCTTTCAACTGGGTCGCTATTTTCAAGCATAGTTCATTTGGCTGAAAACAGGGTTTCACTCATTACCCACGCTGTTTAATAAATAGTGCATGTAGAGATCAGCGAGTTACTCTTGCCTAGGGCTAGGGATACTCCGATCCACCTTTTTTGCTTCCGATACCGATTCCGATACCTGGAATTCAGTATTGGTCGATAACCTAATAAACTTTATGCATCCCTGTGCAATGCATTGGGCTTTACATGAACAATCTCATAACATTGTAAAAGAAAATAAACTCACAAATTATTCATTATTAAATTATTTATTAAAGCAGAACCAGAGTGCAAAGAGTAATTTGAATCCAAAAGCAGCTGAATAACACAACAACTTCACTAGCTTGTGCTTGACTTTTAAAATTAAAGTGCAAGGAATTTCACATCCAGTGCAAAAGCAGCTGATATGAAAGTTTGTTGCATTTAGCATGGCGCTTTGAGGTACAAGATGCACGTCCAACCAGTGTGCAGTTAAACTTAAAAGCGACACAGGGGACACTTCAGAGCTCCAAATATCTGTTGTAAAACTCACGACTTTGACATCCTTCATCTCTTCGGAGATGTGTTTGCACACTTTTCGGTAAAGTTCAGGTAGAGCGGTCTCAGATAAATATTTCCGCTTCACCATGTTGTACCGGGGTTCCAGGTGGTTTATAAGCAGTCTAAAGCCCTTTTCTCCAACGACAGAAAGCGGCTGCCCATCCAAAACAATGCAGTTCAGTATCATTTCAGTTATTTTCGCTGCTTTCACACTTTCAGGCGGAAATGTCTGTGTTCTTTCCTTTGTCTTCCAAAGTTAGTTGCTTCATTCCATCTCGCTTTTGTTTGTTCTGCTCGTTGGATGTTCTGCCTCGCTCCATGCTGTTAGCTTGATCACATGAGGACTGAGCACACCACGTGTGCAAGATTCAGTATGTTGAGCAGTCTCAGCCAAGCATTAACTTGCCTTAAGATGCAACATGCTGCGCAGTCTCAGCACAGCATTTTCTTGCCTAGCAAAAGTTTTTTCTCAGATCGGGGCAGTTGTCGTCGATACCCGATCTAGAATTTTATTTCATATCGACGCCGATACCCGATACGAATATCGGATCAGAGCATTCCTACCTAGGGCCGCAAGTAATAATATTTTCATTATGGGTTATTCAGCTTATTGTTTTCTCTAATAATTTCTTAATTTTATTTGGTTATAAAATGTCAGAAAATAGTAAGTACTTGCAAATTCTAGCAATCTCATTTTCCTAAAGCCCAGCCAGTTCTGCCAAGTTGATCTTTTGATGCTGACATGCTGCTGTTTTTAACAGTGGCATCAGTAAATGAGATGACTCCTGCGTGGAGTGATATTGCTCATGATAAGTAAATCACTCCTCAGATAATGCGTCATGGGCAAAGATGGTGAGCTGAAGATCTAGATAATTCTTTGCCATCTGCTGCTCATCCTCACTCGTCATCCTCCTCTCTCCTCCTCCCTTTGCTCTGTCTCTGCCACTGTGTGTTTTGGGACTAAGCTATCATCAGAGCTGTGGTCTATTTTAGACGTAAAACTCAATTTACCCACTTAATCTGTGTTTCAATGTTCAGGAGTTTCTTCTGTTGCTCTGTTTAACAAAAGGTAGCTTATCCAGCCCAGGTTTTTTGGTGAGCAGAAGACCATAGGTTGTATCAGATCATTTTGTGGAGTTGCTGAATTCACTTATCAAGCAGTATGCTCTTGCTAATGTGGTATGTGCTGTAGAACACTCTTTAGCCCGCCTAACAGTTCCAAAGGGAATTCACTGGAATCTGAGGTCAACTCTCATAAAGTTTGTGCCACTATTGGAGCTGGCTAATAATGAATAACACTGTCATTTGTTGGTCACACAGCTGCTGCAGCTGTGAGCTTCCTGAGGTAGTTCTAAACCAAGACAAATTTAACTCAGAGTAAGCCCCAGAGTGTGTTGTCTCCCTTTGACCTATGGTGATGAACACGCCTAGGGGATCAAAGCTGTAATTAGCCTGCTATGGATTAACAGCGGGGGCTATTTTCCAATATGCTCACTCCCACTGAGCCAGAGGTTCACACAGGCAGCCAGCCCCACTGCCTTTCCTCTTCTTTCATTGAAAAAAGTTTGAGTTGCCATGTTTGTTGTTTTCCTCTTGAGGCCAAGCAAACAAAAAACCCCACATATCTGCCTTGGAGAGTCTGGACATACAGCGATTCTTAAAATGCCTCTGCCAAGGAGGTTAGGTTTTTGCTAGCTTTTGTTCACAGCATAACTCAAAAAATAATGAATGGATTTGGATTTAAATGTTTTGGAGGGGTAGCATAGGGCCCACAGAACAATCCATTAGGTGCTGATCTGGTTCATCTTCCGGATCCAGGAATTTTTAAAAATGATTCTTCGCCATTGTGAGTGAGATAGGGCCAGTTGGAATATATTTGCTTTTAACTACATAATCAGTGCTTGGACAAAAATTGCACGGTAACATCTATATAAGATCTACCACACACCAATGTCTGATCTGGATCCAAGTAATATTCCAGATTTGCTGATCCAGAATGTTCAAATTTCTAGGGCCCACAGAAACTCTTACTACTCTGAAACAGTATATAATGCTACAGAATTGCGACTAAGACCAAATTCTAGCTGAAACTATGCTGATTCTGTAGGGTGTCAGTGAGTTGGGTATCTTCAACAATTGCTATGCTAGATCGTGAAGAAAATTGCCACTAGTGAAAAAGAATTTTTCTTGAACAATTTTCAAACTAATGATGATATCAGTTTGATTCCAAATGCAATAGTAGGTTTTCATGGTCATGGAATCACATTATGATGGTCAAACTATCATGGGACCTTTAGCTGGAATGGCATTATGGGGACAGTTACTTGCCTTGGCAGAGGTTTGTTGTCAAGCAGCAGCCCGTTTGGTTTCTTGATGTACTTAAAAAGTTACCAGTAGAGTTGGTTCAGTCACGTGTTGTGTAGACAGTCTTGACAATCAGCTGGATTTGTGGTTGGAATGCAGAGAGGACTGTGGTTGCTGCTGACTCACTGCCCTGCCAGGTACGAGGTCTGTCTGTTTGCCGTCTCCATGATGTACAGTATGCCTCTGCCCCAGCTCCCCACCTGCCTAGCGCCTTGTCTCTCTCTCAGCCAGACAAGGGCTCATACTGTTCCTCTCGAGGCTCTGAAGAGGTGGAGCAACATGGAGTGTGTACTCTCATGTTTGTCAATGAATCAGTGCTCTCAAAGCAAGGTTTTGTGCCTTGTTTTATTACAATTTCAAGTGAATTTGTGTATGTGTTTGATAAAGTATAGGCTTTTTTCATTTAATCTGTATTTATATAATCATGGACTTGTAGCTACTTGTCCTTATGGATCACAGGAAGAGTAGCTGTGTTATAATAATAACAGGTAGTGTGGAGAGTAGGAATGCAACTACCCATCTGTTTTCTGCAGCCACTTATCTTTGAGGGTCTTGCAGATTTGCTAACACTGGGCGAGAGGCGCTGTTTACATCTCAGCCAGTCAGTCACAGGTCTGACTCACAGACAGACAACCATTCACACTCACATTCGCCCCTACAGGCAACTTAGAGTTGCCCATTAACCTAACATGTCTGTCTTGTTTTTTCAACAAGGGCTGAGTTAGCCTCAGCTTGTGACTCTCATGTATCACATACACTAAAGTCAAAGAGATAATATTCCGTGAACATGCAAAATAAGACTCACTCAAATTCTGAGGGTATTTCCTGAACCCTCATAGACTCTTCTAATGATGTGGAATCAAAAATACAGTAATCTGGTTCTGTCCAGGAAAACTATAATTTTAATCAGTTCCTAGTTTCTCATATTAACAAATATGGTGACAGGAAATGATGCCATCACTCCGGCTTTGAGGGAAAGCAGCTCGATTTTTGCAAGAGAAAGCGAGAGGGACAGCGTCGTTTCCTCTTGTCATACAGTATTTACTTTTCTGAAAAGCAAACTCTTTCACCCCAAAAACTGACAAAATTTATATTTTACCTGGACTTGTCCGGATTATTTTTAATATGCTGAGCAGTATGACCAAAAGTCTCCGTTAATTATTAAGTTTGAGGTTAAGTCACGGTTATAATCTTTTTTTTTTTCTGTAAAATGCATGAAGATTTAAGCTTGATCAAAGCGTCATATTGTCAGGATTTTAACCACATAACCAAACATTGCATGGGTAGCTTTAATAGCTGCTGAGCAAGAATAATAATACTTGCAATGTGTAATAATTATGCATATTTAAAAATACCAGTTCTTT